CACACAGGTGCACACCCCCCACGTGCACACACACACACAGGTGCACACACCCCATGTGTGCACACACACACAGCCCCCCCACGTGCACACACCCCATGTGCACGCACACACACACACAGGTGCACCCCCCACGTGCGCGCGCACACACACACACACACACACACACCATTTGTGCACACACACGCACACACCCCACATGCGCGTGCACACACACACACATACAGGTGCATCCCCTCTACATGCGCGCACACATACACATGCACACAGGCGCATCCCCCACGTGCGCACACTCACGCACACATACACACACACACAGGCACAGCCCCCCACGTGCACACACACACACGCACACAAGTGCACACACCCCATGTGTGCAAGCGCACGCACACACACACACACACACACACACACATACAGGCGCACACTGCCCACGTGCACACACAGACACACACACAGGCCATGCACACAGACACACACACAGGCACACACACCCCACATGCACACACATGCAGTCCCACTGTACAGCTCTCTCACATGCACACATATTTCGGGTGTATGCACGCGGCGTGAACACACCCCGCAGGGTGGGGCAGCCGAGACCCGCAGCCAGGGAGCCAGGGCAGCCGGGATCCGGGGCATCCTGGTCACGCAGCCGTTTCACTGCGCAAAGGCACCAGGTCTCTGGGCTGCCCCCATCGGCTGTACCCGCTGGGACCACCAGCCCTGGCTCCGTGCTCCATGCCAGCGGGCGGCTGGATGGTGCTGAGCGGCCAGGCCCTTGTCCCATGTAACAGACCCGTTCTCTGGGTTTGTCCCAGTAAAGCTGCTTCCCCACATCCTCTTGCGGTGGCTTTGGGGTGCAGAAGCTGTTGGTGGGGGGCCAGGCTCACCACTCTGGTGCCCTACCTGGTCAATGCCGGGTTGGATGCTGTGGTACAGGGTCCTGGTTTCCAGGTGCTCGGGGACCAGCCCACAGGTGCGGAGCAGGTGCAGGGCCAGGCGCTCTCTTGGGGGCCCCAGGTGACCGTGCGCAGGGACCTTGCTCTCTGAGACAGGGAAGCCAAGCACAGCAGAGGGACATGGGGCATGGGCTGTGTGCCGCCCAGGGGCCCGCAGCGCCCCGAGAAACCCCGTGTCCCGCCCAGGGGCCTGCAGCGCCCCAAGAAACCCCGTGTCGCGCCCAGGGCACACAGTGCCCCGGGAACCCCGTGTCGCGTCCAGGGGCCCCCAGTGCCCCGAGAACCCCATGTCCCCCCCAGGGCCCGCAGTGCCCCGGGAACAAGTCAGCGCCCAGGGACAGGGTCTGACTTGTCTCTCCTGGGGCCCCTGGGCACTCACCGAACTGCGCCAGCAGGAAGGCCCTGCCCATGAAAGTGGCTTTGCCCCCGTCTGCGCTGAACTCGGGCAGGGCCAGACTCCTCATCCTGGCAAAGTTCTCCAGTAACTGGGTGGGGAGCAGCTGGTCTCGCCACTGACAGGGGCCGGAACTGGAGGAAGGGAAGGGAGGCAGCAGGGGTCAGGGTGAGGCCGTGGAGCTGGGTGCATTATAACCGGCTACCCCGAAGCTTGGGCTCAGCTCTCTGACCCCAGGGCCGGCTGTGCTGGGATTAGAGCACACTCTGGGGGCATTCCAGGGCTGGGCAGGATTGTCCCCAGAGGGGAAACTGAGGCACAGAGCGGGGCAGGGATCGCCCAAGGGTGCCCAGCAGGGCAGTGACATTGCTGGGAGTGGATCCCGGCTCCTGGCTGGTTGTCCTGTGCTCTAACCATGGGTGGGGGCTCCCCAGTGACCCCAGTGCAAGTGAGGCTGGGACTGGTCTGCCCCGACCCCTCCTCCATGCTCCTCATCCGGTTCTTGCCCCTGCACCCTGGCCCTCCTTACTGGCACCCCCAGCGCTCGCCCCATCCCTACCTCTGCCCCCTCGTCCGGCACAGCAGGCCCCTGCAGCTCCCCGGGGAGAGAGATTTGTGTGGACAGAGGGCCAGAGCCCTGCTGCGGGCTGACCTGAGTACTGCTGGGAGAGGCCAAAGGACCCCATCACTTCTGCAGCAAGGCCAGATAAGTGCCGGGATGCGGCTACCCCTGGTGCCCCTGATCGTCCTGGGCCCAACGTCCGCTTTTCCCACCACTCTCAATGGCATCTCAAGGTGGCTGGCTCCCGAGGGGAGGCACCGACCCAGGCTGAAATCCTCTCGGGGGGCTCGGCCCCAGCTCCCCAGCCCAGCCGGCAGGGAAAGACTCCGGCCTTGCCCTGGCTCAGCTGGGGGGCAGCGGGGTGGGGTGCTGGCCACTCACATGCAGTAGGACTGGGGCAGCCCGCAGTTGGCCCGGAAGCGGGACAGGAGCCGGTTCTCCAGGTCGATGCTGGTGGCCCCTATCTTCTGGTCGGGGAGGATGAGGTCGTAGTCAAAGAGCGAGATCTGCAAGTCCTTCTCCAGCGGGAGGGTGCACGGGAGCTCGAACACCCTGGCGGGCAGGGCAAAGAACGGGAAGGGAGCTCGCTCTGCAGCCCGAGGGCTCTTGGCCTCAGCTCTGCCTTCCACCTGCCCCAGCCAGAACCCTGGGGGGCTGGGGAGGCCCAGAGCCTGGGGAAAACTCACACAGCACAGCGAGTCCCTGGCAGGAGGAGATGGTCTTGGGGCTTTACTGCTCTGCAGCTCCGGGCCGGGCCTGGCATGGGCCCAGCCATCCCACCTTTGCCCCCTCTGCACGCAAGGCAGCTGCACGCTGCAAGGGAAATGCACACGGCACAGCAGGGCCAAGCTCCATGCCGAATGTTGGCAATAGGTTTATGTGCCCTCAGTTTTCCTCTGGTTAGAGCCCAGAGCCATCACAAACTGCCTGGGGCCCGCACCTGTGAATGGACATTCACTCCTAGGGAGTAGGAGATTCCCCCCTCTCTGCAGGGAAGCAAAGCGCAGCTGGAGGACACAGGAGACAGGCGGCAGGTGGCTGGGGGAAGAGCTGAGCTCACATTGTACGTCTACACCGTGAAACCCCCCAGCGGCAGCGAGTCTCAGAGCCTGGCTTGACGCTCTCGGGCTCGTGCTGTGGCGCTAACCGGCCCCGCAGACGTTCCCACGTGGGCTGGAGCTCGGGCTGAGACCCCCCCCTGCAGGCTTCAGAGCCCGAGCTCCAGGGAACGTCTACACAGCTATTGTTAAGTGCCTGGGCACGAGCCTGAGTCCAGAGCCTGGCTGCTGCTGCGGGGATTATTTTGCAGTGTAGACACACCCAGTGACAAGGGCTCTGACCTAGACAGAGGCCAGGTTCACACTACACAATTGAGTTGACCTATGTTAGGTCGACTTACAGCCACTGCAGGAATGACTGCGGTTTTTCATGTCCACACTGCCCTGCCCTCTTCCTGTCGGTGATGCGCGTCCTCACCAGGAGCGCTTGTACCGACTTAACAGGGGCAGTGTGGGGGGCTGAGAGCCCAGGCTCTCGGTTTGCTGCCAAGCTCCCAGCTGGAGTCTGGCTGGAACCCCCACCCTCAATTTCAAAACAGGCCCCCTACCAGCCATGAAACTGACCCCCTTGTCAATTTCACAGCTCCAGCTGTCAGCCACCCTGTGCTAACCTAGGGACGCTCGCATTCTGTAGCCAGATGACTAATACATTGCTGCCTGGTGTTGAAAAGGCTGCCTGGTGTCTCCACAAACAGGCACGGAGAGCCTGCACCCTGGAGGGAAGGGGTGTGCCCACCTGTCCTTTGCCCACTACCAGGCAATGCTCCCTTTGTTCTGACCTGTTCCCTCCAGGCTGCTCGGGGATCCGCGCAGCTCCAGGAGGGGTGGGCAGGGTTCAGCCCCCGAGCTGCCTGGGGGCTCTGGAGAGCTGCAGGCTGGACTTACCTGCCGAAGACAGGTTCCAGGGTGTTGGGCAGATACTGGTCTCTGTCCCCCAGCTTCTTTTTGCCCAGGGTGACCCGCACGTAGGGGTCGCACTGCAGGGGACACAGCCAGGAAGGGGCAGTTAATAAACGTCCCCTTAGTGCCTGGCCCCGTTCTTGTCACACCCAGGAATTGGGGGGTGGGAGCGGAGCCGGAAAGGGGCTCCCAGGCTGTGTCAGACGGGCCTGGGCACTGGACTGAAGCTTGAGGGGCACAAGCTGATCTCTCCCCGGCAGGGCCCGGAACAGGGCAGGCTGGCACACAGACCCGGCCGTGCCCGCAGCATCAGTCAGAGCTGGACTACTTGGGTAGCAATGAACCCCTTGGAGCCTGCCACAAGCAGGGCTCTGGATTGTCAGGTCCCTCAGGGTACATCCACACGGCAAACCGCCCCGCAGCAGCAACTGCCCAGGGCCTGGGTCTGCAGGCTCGCGCTACGGCACTAAAAGTAGCCCCTAGTTCCAGCACCCCCGCGGCTACTGTTAGCACTGTAGTGACCCGGATCTGAAACGCCCGGATGTGGCTTTATTAGGCTCTTCTAGGGCAGCGCACCAGCCCAAGGAGCTTTGTCCCAGTACCACAGGGAATGGGTGCTGGGTGGGGGGGAGCAGTGTGCAGAGCGGGTGAGAATTGGGCACTTACCAGGCCGTTCCTATCCTTTGGCGGGAGGTTAAAGGCCCGGACGATGTAAACCCGGACCAGACACTTCTGGGGTTGACTTTCGGGCAGCTCCTGGAACTGGCGCGGCGGTGGTGGGGAGCTGGGGTCCTCTGGCAGTGGATAGATCTGGAAGAGTCCCTGCAAACAAACCAATCCACATGATTTCTAGCTGCTCGGATACTGGATTGATGGAGTCTTGTCCTCCGAGCATCTGGGGCCCATTCCCTGTTGGGAACAGCGCTACTCATACTGTTGTGCTCAGAGACCAGAGCAGACAGGGGCTGGGTACGGTGCCAGCGGCTGTGCTCAGAGACCAGGGCTGATGGGGGAGGGTCACTGTGCCAGCTGGCATGCCTGGCCCTGGGTGGCGGGTGTGATGGGTTTCCCCTGGGGTGCCACTTGGAACCGGTGTACCACTGAGCCCGACCCACCAGCCTGGGCTTCCTTTCACACTGTACTGTTGAGACAAGCTCTCAAGCCCCCTCCAGCACGCATACACCCAACTGCAGCTTCACACACAGCTCAGCTAGGGAACGGCTCAGTACTCAAGTGCCCACACCCCCTCTGGAGGGCAAACCCAAAATTGTACCATCTTACGCTGCACAGAGAACTGTACAGCATAAGCTCATGAAATTCACCCCCTCCCTCAATGTGGAGAGAGAGATGCAACAGCTTTTTGCCCCCCAGTTAGGAATTCCGCACACTGGGTTTTCGACAAAAAAAGAGATTGTAAGTGATTCTAAGGGACAGCACACAGATCAAAGCAGATTACCTAGCAAATAAAGCCAACACGCAATCTAAGCTTAATATACTATAGAAACTGGTTATAAGCAGCACATTCTCACCCTAAATGTTGTTTTAGGCAGATTTGCAGAGACTTGCTTGCAGCTTAAAACTCCAGATATTCCTTTCACAGGCCAGACACCCTCTGGCCTGGGCTCAGTCCCCCCTCCCCCCCGTCTCTTTATTTCTCAGGTGTTTCCAGCAGCCTTCTTCCTTGGGTGGGGAGTTAGTGAAGAAGGAACCAAGCTGATGTCACTCCCCTGCCTGAAATAGCTTTTGCACATGGTGGGAACCCTTTGTTCCCATGCCAGACAGTGGAAAAACACTGGTGTTCCAAGATGGATTCCAGTACCAGGTGACTTGGTCACATGTCTCTGTAGGGCCATAGCAGCCATGAGTCAGAGGCTGGTTGTTCCTCAGGAAGCCGCCTTAGTGGGAGATTAGCATCTTCTAAAACCTATTGTTCTCCCTAATGGCTCTTCCTCACAGTCAGCCATCTAGACTGATTGCATTCTGTCTGGTGGGCGTTCCCCAGGTGTAAACACACTTGTAATAGATGCCCAGACAACATTCCTAACTTCAGATACAGACATGATACATGCACACAAATAGGATAATCGCATTCAGTAAATCACAACCTTTCCAATGATCTCTCACAGGACTTATTTTGTATAAAATACATCAGAGTTATGCAATAATCCTATCATAACAATCTCTCTGTGAAGCATATGGGGGCGTAATGCCACAGCAGGCTCTGGGAGCATTGTACTCTGTAGATGGCACACACAGCGCTGGGTGAATGCTGAGAATTTGTCACTAGGCCTCAGCTGACCAGCCCCTTTGCTCCCCCGTGTCCAGCTCCTCTGATGTCTGGACGCAGAGACACTGGGCTGCTGAGGGGGAGCTGCTGGGGGTGGGACCTTGTTGATACACCCTGGGAGCTTTGCAATGAAACCCACAAAAGGCCAAACACCTGGCACCTGGTTCTCACCTTGAATTCCCCGACCACCAGGGGGTCTTCGCTGGCCTCCTCCAGCACCCGCCCACGGTACAGCCTGAAGGTCTGGCAGAAATCCTGCAGGCCCTGGAACTCCGGCACAGCCTCCAACTCACAGTTATAGACCTGCCAAGGAACCACAGGCTCAGGCTTTGGACACTAACATCTCGGTCGTGCGGAGTTTGGGCCGTGGGGTCAGCGAGGGCTGGTACTGAGCCAGGGAGGAAAAGGACGTGCCCGCAGGGTGGATCCCCCAGAGGCAGATTTCTACAGCAGCAGGAGCCTGGACTGTCCTCCACTGGCAACATTGTGATTGACCAGGCTAGCAGGGGGTGCCCAACTACCCTCAGTTGGATCCAATCAGAACTGGCCAGCTGTGACTACGTCATACGCCCCATCCCGCCGACGAGAGATCCATGGTTAGCTGTGCTTATAGGGCAGGGGCTCTGCATTCTCTCCATGAGGCTGCTGAGAAGCCCGGAGAGCAGCACAGTCATAGAATCATAGAATATCAGGGTTGGAAGGGACCTCAGGAGGTCATCTAGTCCAACCCCCTGCTCAAAGCAGGACCAAATCCCAACTAAATCATTCCAGCCAGGGCTTTGTCAAGCCCGGCCTTAAAAACCTCTAAGGAAGGAGATTCCACCCTAGGGATCCCATTCCAGTGCTTCACCAGCCTCCTAGTGAAAAAGTTTTCCCTAATATCCAACCTAAACCCAGGGCCGGCTCCAACATTTCTGCCGCCCCAAGCAAAAAAAAAAAAAAAGCCGCGATCGGGGGCGGCAGTTCAGCAGCAGGTCCTTCGCTCCTAGAGGGAGTGAGGGACCTGCCGCCTCCAAATTGCCGCAGGTGCCGCCCCTCTCCCTTGGCCGCCCCAAGCACCTGCTTGTTAAGCTGGTGCCTGGAGCTGGCCCTGCCTAAACCTCCCCCACTGCAACTTGAGACCATTACTCCTTGTTCAGTCATGAGGACACGTATTTGTTACAATATTTTACAGTCTTACAGAGCCCAACCTACCGGTCTGGGAATTACTGGTCCCTAAACCACTTCACCCGTCACAGAAATGCAGCCACTTCTGGCGTGGAGCGTGGCAGCTGTATAAAGGCAATGTACAGTTCTGGACAGGGAATGAGGAAGGACATGGCATCCTGTTTGTGTGCCAAGGCCTACCTGGCTAAGAGCATCACAGCCTCTCCACTGTGACTACTGTGGAGTCTAGCTAATGAGGGAAAGCCCTTGTGGCCAGCCAGGAAAAGCCCAGCTCTGATTCCCCACAGAGCTCCCGGGACAAGGGGAGAAATAGCACCCTTGTCCATCTGTCTGAGGGCCAGACCGGGGCCAGCCTGGCTGGCTGTGGGGAACTCTCTGGCCTGCAGAAGGCAGATTCCACCTGGGTCAGGACAGTCGTCATCCCCAGAACAGAGGGGAGACCCCTCTCTGCAACCCCCAGTCCAGGTTCTACCACGTGCGACCGCCAGCCAGGAGCACACCTTCAGGCTGTCCAGCCCTGTCTGCAGGTAGCCGCCGCTCTTTGCCAGATCCCCCGTGGCAGCATAGAACTTGCTCCACCAGTCGACACACTCCTCCTCCTCCTGGGGAAGAACGGAAGGAAGAGCAGCGTGAGCCTTGCTAACCAGTGGGAAATGCAGGCGTCTCTGTCGCACGGCTGCTGAGAGCTGCTATCCCACTGGGCAGGGGGGCTGCTGCTCCAAGTTCCTCCCTGACCCCTCTGTGAAACCCACCTTTTCTGCTCTCAGTGTGGTTCGAAGCCACGACTCGGCAGCCATCCTGCCCAGCATCTGCGGAGATGAGGGGAGACAAATGTGTCACGCCCAAGGAGTTTAATACACCTTATGACACAGCCCCCCATATTCCTCACAGTGATGTTATTATGATATGATTATGGCATAATTATGATGCATTTTATACAAGATGGGTCATGTGAGGTGTCACTGGAAAAGTTACAATTTCCTGAATATGATTATCCTATTTGTATGCATGGATCATTTTTGTATCTGAAGGTATGAATATCGACTGTGCATCTGTATTTCAAATGTGCTGACTCTGGGTGACACCCACAACTAGCCTTTCAGGTACAACAATGAAAAAGCCAGACAGTGCTGATGGCCCATCAGCAAAGACAATGGGCCCTGGAAGAACGTAACCTTCCTGGAAACGTTCCAGACAGCCTGTAAGCAATGGCTGCTGTGACTCAGCAAAGTATGCAAGGGCATGTGACCAGACCACATGACTCTGGGCTCCATTTTGGGATGCCTGTATTTTTCCACACACTGGTCTGGGAACCAAGTTTAAAACATATATAAGGCAGGGAGTGGCATCACCTGTTCTTCTTCACTCCCCACACAAGAGGACCCCTGGAAACACATGCTGAACTGGGGGAAGTACTGGAGCCAGGCACAAAATGGGAAATGACTGCCTAGGAAAGAGTACTGCGGAAAGGGATCTGGGAGTCATAGTGGATCACAAGCTAAATATGAATCAAAAGTGCCACACTGGTGCCAAAAAAGCGAACATCATTCTGGGCTGTATTAGCAGGAGTGTTGTAAGCAAGACACGAGAAGTAATTCTTCTGCTCCGCTCCGCGCTGATAGGCCTCAACTGGAGTAGTGTGTCCAGTCTGGGCACCACATTTCAGGAAAGATGTGGACAAATTGGAGAGAGTCAACAAAAATGATTAAAGGTCTAGAAAACACGACCTACAAGGGAAGAATGAAAAAAATTGGGTTTGTTTAGTCTGAAGAAGAGAAGACTGAGAAGGGACCTGATAACAGTTTTCAGTTACATAAAAGGTTGTTGCAAGGAGGAGGGAGAAAAATTGTTCTCTTTTATCTCTGAGGACAGGACAAGAAGGAATGGGCTTAAATTGCAGCAAGGGAGGTTTAGGTTGGACATTAGGAAAAGCTTCCGAATTGTCAGGGTGGTTAAGCACTGGAATAAATTGCCCAGGGAGGTTGTGAAATCTCCATTGGAGATTTTTAAGAGCAGGTTAGACAAACACCTGTCAGGGATGGTCTAGGTCAGTGGTCTCCAAACTTTTTTGATCGCGCACCCCATCAGTAAAAAAATTTTGAGCATGCACCCCCTGCCGCGCCAAAGCAAAAAACAAAAACGTGGACTCTCACCTGAACTGCTGAAGCAAAAAAAAAAACCCACACGGACTCCCCCACTTTGGAGATCACTGGTCTAGATAATACTTAGTCCTGACTTGAGGGCAGGGGACTAGACTAGAAGACCACTCCAGGTCCCTTCCAGTCCTACGAGTCCATCTTCTTCTATCTTCTAAAGGGATTTTTAGCCCATGTATGAAAACCTGGGGAACCCAAGATGCAAAGCAAATACAGCTTGTGCCTTAAGAATCTGCAAGCCTGCTTGTACCATCACTCAGGGTGAGAAACTGCTAACTCATATCCAATCTATCTAGTATGTTAAGCTCAGTTTGTGTTTTTGTTTTATTTCTTATGGTAATCTACTTTGATCTGTTTGCGATCACTTATAATGACTTAAAATCTATCTTTTAGTGGCTAATAAACTTGTTTTATGTTTTAATCCAAGCCAGTGTGCCTTGGGGGAAATCTCAGCTTGGTTAACACAAGTGTGCGTTGTTCTCTTCACATTGAGGGAGAGGCGGACCGGGTATTAAGCCCATATACCGGCCAAAACGTGAGCAGGGCAGGACGGTACAGCTCTGGGGTCCTAGGCTGGGGAGCTGGGGGGGAGGGGGGTTGGGCTGCAGTCTCTCTACTGTCGGTTCATGCAGCGGCCGGCCAGAGCCTGCATGTAACTGCAGCTGGGTGTGTCCCTGCCTGTGTGAATGCTGGTGGGAGTGTAGGAACAGGAGCAGTCTGCAGCTTGTCACTGCAGCACAGTGCGAGAGGGAGCTCAGGCTGGACAGACGGAGGGCTTAGTGGCATCCCAGTTCCCGGTTGCACCCGGGGGGACCCGTCATACACCTGATCAGCTCCTGCCTGGCCCACCACATGCTGCCCCTCTGCTGGGCTCCTGATGGCTCAGGACGTGACCCCCAGAGTTCCATGGTGGGCTTCGGAGACATTCTAGGACAGTGGTTCCCAAACTGGGGTTGGGTTCACAAAGTGTTACAGGGGGTTCTTGGGAAAAAATTCCCTAATGGCGGACAGAGCTGTCCATAGGGACCCCGGGCAGCACGGGGCAAGCAGCCCGGAGCCTCTGGATTTCCAAGAGCTAAGCGGATCAAAGCAGGCGTATCTATCACACTGAGGAGATTTAAACTTCAAAACTCCTTATAAGAAATGGAAAGGGAGGTGGATATTTTTTGCTGTTTTTAAAATAAATAAGCAGCTAGTGTTGTTTTTAAAATTATTATGAAGAACTAGTTTGAGCTTTGTTGTAACGTGCGTTGTTTGCCTGGACTGCTCAAGACCTGAATGCTTGTGTAGGAGGAACTCTTTGAGTTGGCTTCTTAAATACCTTTATGCTGTTTCACATCTAATACTCCTTGATGAAACATAGGAGCCTTGTCTTATAACAGGCTTATTCAAAGTGATACAAGATACGAAAGTGAGCTCTTGGAAGAGTGTTGCCGTTTTCATAATGTAATACAAATACTGTAATGATAAATAATAATTAATAATAAATAGTGTGTAATAAGCATGTCATAAAAACACATTTTATATTTCCAAGATCACTTCTTTTTATAATTTATACTCAGGTAAAGGAGAAAATCCCTGGAAATATTCATTTTTGGGAGGGGGTTCGTGAGACTTGACATTTTAGTGAAAGGGGTTCACAGGTTGTTAAAGTTTGGGAACCACTGTTCTAGGAGTCATCTCACATCTCTCTGGTAAGTGGAGGACTGGCCAGGCCAGCTGGAGGGTCTGCAGGGCCCTTGTGGGGAGTGGTAACCCAAGGGAGGCATGTGGGTATAGGGTACCTTTTCCTGCAGCTGGCGTTTTGCTTGTTAGCTTTGGCAGGGCTCTACCAGCCCCTGTGTTAATGATCCAGGCTGAGCAATGCGCATATGAAGGCCTGCCGTTATTGTAGAGGAGAGCTCTGTAGATAGTCACTGCAGTGGGGGCCCACATGGCTCAGGGAGCCAGCATGGATGAGCAGGAGTGTCCTGGTGCTGGAGGAGGGGGATCTGAGCAGCTGCTCTGGCTAGAGGCTGTCTGGAGACCATCCCCTTCCAGCTGTCAGCTGAAGTCCAGATGAAATTTGATGATTTGAACAGCTAAATACCCGACCTGGATCCCAGCCTCCCTCCCCTCTAGCATCCATGGGTTGGATTTTTATTGGTAAATGTCAGTAAATGCCCATTCCACTGTACACACACAAACTGACGAAAAAATATTTCCAGGGATAGCAATTGAAATGTGCAGCTAGGCAAAGTAAGGGAAACGCTGCTTGGGGCCGTGTTGAGTTTGATTTCAGGAGATTGACGTGGTGTATTTTGACTGGAGATGTTGACAATTTGTGTTTTATTGGCTATAAAGCTTTAATTTTTGGAATTTCACAATTCAATTACAATCGATTCTGCCAAGCCTATACCCAGACAACCCCTTTCTTCTGTCCAAGCAGCTCACAGTGCTTGACGAGCATTAATTCATGACGCCTCACAAACTTCTCCCTCCCGTGAGGTAGGTCAGTAGTATCGTAGTTTTACAGGTGGGGAAACTGAGGCACAGAGCGTGGACGGCACTGGTCCAAAGTTGGACAGCAAGTCTGTGGCAGAGCTGGGTATAGACCCCAGATCGCCTGACTTCTGTCCCCCTGCCCTAACCCCTAGATGATATTGTCTCATAGGGCCCTTTAGGGAGAGCCCCTCAGACCAGTTAAGAGCCGGCTATGGGAGCACAAAGCCAATGCACCTTGGAGTGAGGTGCAGATGTGACCTCATGGGATGCAGCACTGAACTGCACTGAGGGGACCCCTAAGGGTTAAAGCAGGGCTGAGGCCCAGGTCACCCCGCACTGTATCTGCACTGAGGTCAGTGGTGCCCATGGCACCGGGTGCCACCCCCGGTGGGAGCAGGACGTGAGCGCTGCAGAGAGAGGGGGCCCAGCAAGCAGGTGGTTCTGGGCTGCTGGAGAGTAGCACTCACCTTCGCGATCTTCCCCTTGGGAGCCACTGTGTGGGGCAGGGAAGGGAGGGGGAGAAAAGAGACATGGAATTAATGACAGTATTGAAATATCCCCAGGTCCTCCCAGCTCGGAAAGCAGGAATGGCTGGGGGAGGCTCTCTGGCCTGGCTAGGCCGGACTGGCTGCATGATCACACTGGGCCCATCCGGCCTGAACGTCTAGGAATCAGCCACTGGTGACTGCGTAACCTTGCCACCGCCTGAGGGCAGGAGTCAAAGTGGACTCCCGCAAGGGCTCAGTGTGGTTATTCAGAACCCAGGTCCTAGGCAGCATTTCTTTACATTGCAAAAGTAACCCAGCATTTAGCAACTGACAGGCCCGGCTCATGGGAAGGCACGGTTGGTGTCTCACAAGCAGGCTGTTCAAGGCGAGGACTGATTGGCATCGGCACCGCTGTGTGTGGGGAGCTCAGGGCTGGGCTAGCCGGGGGCTGGGGCTTGGAAGTGAGGGCCACTGGCAGAGCTGTGGGGCGGTGGGTGGGCCCCCCACGACCGGAATAGCAGGGGACTGCGGATCCCAGCGATGTCCTCACTAGGAATACATCTTCCTTTAGTTTTAATGTTGGGGGATATGCAGTCCTGGCACCCCAGGGTGAAAAGATTCCGTGGGGCAATGCGGGGGGGAGGGGTCTGCAGCATTTCTGTGTTAGAGCACATGGGCACCACGCTGGAGCCCGGCCCGGCAGAGCCAATGGTGCCAGATGGCTGGCTCCAGTGAAACGTGGGGTTTGGCCCAATAGTTCCACAGGAGAGGGTCTGGCAGGTCCCTGCCAGCAATGGGAGAAAGACAGTGTTCCCCAGAGGTCCTGGGAGCTGTGCTGGTGAGTGGGGGATGGTGAGTGGGATTCATTGGTTGGCCTGTACCTGGGGGTGGCAGGCTGGGATGGTGCCCCTCTGCAGACGGCTCGCACATGTACTGGCGCAGGGATCTCACGCTGGCCTGGCCCACCACTGGCTTGTACCCAAACTCCCGGTTGTCCACGACCTTCAGCTCGATGGGGGGCATTAAATCTTCTTCCATGGGCAGGTGCTGCGGGGTGGCAAGCAGGTCCATGAGCTCCATGGGGAGGCAACAGAAGGAGCAGGCAACTGGGCCAGCACCTAGACACTCAGCCATGGAGCACTGTATGGACAGACAGACAACGCCGGCCACGGGGCTAGAGGTGATGTGGGTCGGTGGGATCAAGTGGTCCCTGGAACTCTCCAACCATCTCCGACTCCCAACCCAGCCATGTAGGCAGGCAGGACGGGAAGTGGCTGAGAAGCGGTGGGTGGAGCCGCCCTGCCCCATGCTCCTGCCCTGCTCACCACTCTCATGAGGAAGACATTGATTGGGAAGTTGGGGTTCTCGTGGAGGTCTCTGATGGGAGCCGTCTGGATGGCTTCTCCTCCACACTCCACCACCAGGCTCGGTGCCATGACGCTCAGCAGGTTGTAGCTCTGCAGGCCCCGCAGGCCCCAGGCCAGGATCTGGAGGGGAGGAAGAGGTGAATGGTGTGGTTGTACCATGGATGGACGTCACGAAGGAGGGGTGGGCTGGGCCCAGCTGGGCCGAGTTTGCACTCATGGATTCAGCATCAGTCCCACTGGCAAAGGTGCCAGGGGTGAAGCTGCCGATGTGGCTCTGTTTCAGAATCAGAACAGAGCTTAGAAGCCAGCCGGGCCAGAAAAACTCACCTGGCCACCCCTTGAGTGTATTGGACGCCCAGCAGGGAGATGAATGGGCTGGACTGCTCTGGGGCCCAGAGGGCAATGGAGGGGCTGGTGACAGTGGCTCCCCAGCACAAACTCCCACCAATGTCCTGCCTGGCCAGCCAAGGTGGTGGGTGGGAAGAGGGAGACGCTGCAGCCTATGTTTGTGCCAGGCGGAAGGGATGGTTCTGGGTGACAGGAGAGTTACAGTCAGGAATGAGGGGCTGGGGTTAACCAAAGGGAGAAGCAGGGTGGAGGGAAGTGACACGGTGACTAGACTGGAGGGGCAACCTCGCCCCAGCCCCCAGGCGATGAGCAGGGCAGGATTTCCTGGGCGTCTCCATCCCCATGCTGATGAGGAGCAGCAGCCTGTCCCCTCAGGAGGGGAAGCACCTGCAGGTCATTGGGGGCTATCGACCTCTGCCCAACGTGCTGGTCTGATCTTCGTAGCTCTGCCTGCAGCAGTTCCCATGCAGGGGGCCTCCCAGCTCCATCCCCGCTGTCCCCCAGTCCCTGCTGGCAAGGCCCTCCTGTAGGGTAGATAGTGGCTGACGCCAATGGCATGGCAGGATCTGTGGCAGTAACAGGCATCACCTCTGGCAACGCAACGTGCCCTCCGCAGCAGATACTTGTTTCCTCCTCCCACCAAACAAGCTGCTTCTGCCCTGGAGTCTGCGTGAGCAGAGGGGCCCTGGCCGTCACCCTCACCTCAATGGCCATCAGTCTGAGCGTGGGCCGGATGTCGCTAGGGATGACGTAGACCCCGTTCTTCCAGGAGGGGGCGGGAAGGCGGCCTGGTGCACCATCCTGGGAGGGGAAGGACAAGGCTGTTGTGTGATGCTCTGGCTTGGCTGCACTTTGTACAAAACGGACAGAGGACTTTCGTGCCGGGGAAGGACCAGGACTGGCAGCCAAGGGCAATTCCTCTGGCTTCCACATCGTGCCCCGTGCTAAAGTGACCCCTCCAGCCCTCAGGGACCCTGCTACATGGGCCAGGGGGCTCAGTCGCTGTTGGTCACCATTCCTGGGAATGCCAGCAAGGAGGCTGAGGTAGAGCTTAACTTTTGTGTTGGAGACACCTGTTCGGTTGGAACTCTCCTGAGATTCTCCATCAGGATGAGTGATGTGATGTCTGCCAGTCCCGGGGCATCTCGTCCGTCCCCCTCACTGGGGCAGGACCCAGTAAACCTAGACCAGGCCTGACAGTGTTTGCCCACCTGGCCTTCAAAACCTCCAGTGATGGGGATTCTACAACCTCCCTTGGAAGCCTGTTCCAGAGCTCAACTCCCCTCAGAGTTAGAAAGTTTTTCCTAATATCGAACCTAAATCTCGCTTGCTGCAAACTAAGCCAATTCCTTCTTGTCCTACCCTCGGTGGCCGTGTAAAACAGCTGTAAACAGTGTTGTTGCAGCTGTGTTGGTCCCAGGATATTAGAGAGACAAGGTGGGTGAGGTCATATCTTGTATTGTACCCATTCCTGTTGATGAGAGAGAAGCTTTCAAGCCCAGAGCTTCAGCACTGGGAAAGGTTCTCCGAGTGTCACAGCCAAAGACAAGATTGAACAGATAGTTTAGCATAAATAGCACATATTATAAGGGACCCCTGTAGTCACAGGACAAAAAGGGGGTAAGTGGGTTACAGATTGTAGAGTTAGAAGGGACAGATTGTCATAGAATTGTAGGGTTAGAAGGGACCTCAAGGGTCATCTAGTGTAACCCCCAATAAACCATTAATCCAGCGTTTTATTAAGTCTTAATAAAGACACTGGATGTATCGTTTATTACAACAATATGTAATCCACTGATCCCCCTATTTGTCCTGTGACTTCAGGGGTGTTAACAGGCCACTTCACCTTGACTGGTCCATTCGAACGTGTGCTAACTACTTACGCTGAACTATCTGTTCAAACCTGTGTTTAGCTGGGACACTCGGGGTGCCTTTCCCACACCCGAGGATGAGCTCTGTGCGGCTTAACAGCTTGGCTCTCTCGCCAACAGAAGTTGGTCCAATAAAAGTTATTACCTCCCCCACCTTGTGTCTCTAATGGAAGACAGTTAATCACCATCTTCCTTATAACAACTTTTTACATATTTAAAGACGTGCCACACTTAAGGAAAGATGTGGACAAATTGGAAGCATCCGGAGGAGAGCAACAAAAATGATACAAGATTTAGAAAACCTTATCTAGGAGGAAAGGTTAAAGAAAATGGGCACGTTTAGCATTGAGAAAAGCAGACTGAGGGGGGACCTGATAACAGTCTTCAAATATGTTAAGGGCTGTTAGAAAGATTCATGGATTCCAAGGCCAGAAGGGACCATTGTGATCATCTAGTCTGAACTCCTGTTTCGCACAGGCCAGAGGCCTGCGCCACAGTCATTCCTAGAGCAGATCTGTTAGAAAACATCCACTCTTGATTTTAAAATGGTCAGTGATGGAGAATCCACCACAACCCTTGGTAATTTGTTCCAATGGTTAATTACTCTCGCTGTTAAAAATTTACACCTTATTTCATAGAATCATAGAAGATTAGGGTTGGAAGAGACCTCAGAAGGTCATCTAGTCCAACCCCCTGCTCAAAGCAGGACCAACACCAACTAAATCATCCCAGCCAGGGCTTTGTCAAGCCGGGCCTTAAAAACCTCTAAGGATGGAGATTCCACCACCTCCCTAGGGAACCCATTCAAGTGCTTCACCATCCTCTTAGTGAAATATTTTTCCTAATATCCAACCTAGACCTCCCCCACTGCAACTTGAGACCATTTCTCCTTGTTCTGTCATCTGCCACCACTGAGAACAGCCAAGCTTCATCCTCTTTGGAACCCCTCTTCAGGTAGTTGAAGGCTGCTATCAAATCCCCCCTCACTCTTCTCTTCTGCAGACTAAATAAGCCCAGTTCACTCAGCCTCTCCTCATAAGGCAGCCCCCTGATCATTTATGTTGCCCTCCACTGGACTCCCTCCAATTTGTCCACAGCCTTCTTGTAGTGGGGGGCCCAAAACTGGACACAATACTCCAGATGTGGCCTCACCAATGCTGAATAGAGGGGAATAATCACTTCCCTCGATCTGCTGGCAATGCTCCTACTAATGCAGCCCAATGTGCCATTAGCCTTCTTGGCAACGAGGGCACACTGCTGACTCATATCCAGATTCTCATCCACTGTAATCCCCAGGTCCTTTTCTGCAGAACTGCTGCTTAGCCAGTCAGTCCCCAGCCTGTAGCAGTGCATGGGATTCTTCCTTCCTAAGTGCAGGACTCTGCACTTGTCCTTGTTGAACCTCATCAGATTTCTTTTGGCTCAATCTTCCAATTTGTCTAGGTCACTCTGGATCCTATCCCTACCCTCCAGTGTATTTACCTATCCCCCCAGCTTAGTGTCATCTGCAAACTTGCTGAGGGTGCAGTCCACGCCATCCTCCAGATCATTAATGAAGATGTTGAACAAAACTGGCCCCAGGACCAACCCCTGGGGCACCCCACTTAATACTGGCTGCCAACTAGACATTGAGCCATTGATCACTACCTGTTGAGCCCGACAATCTAGCCATCTTTCTATCCACCTTCTAGTCCATTCATCCAATCCATACTTCTTTAACTTGCCGGCAAGAATACTGTGGGACACCGTATCAAAAGTCAAGGTATATCACGTCCACTGCTTTCCCCATATCCACAGAGCCAGTTATCTCATCATAGAAGGCAATCAGGTTGGTCAGGCATGACTTGCCCTTGGTGAATCCATGATCACCTTCCTCTCCTCCAAGTGCTTAAAAATGGATTCCTTCAGCACCTGCTCCATGATTTTTCCAGGGACTGAGGTGAGTCTGTAGTTCCCCAGATTCTCCTTCTTCCCTTTTTTAAAGATGGGCACTATATTTGCCTTTTTCCAATCGTCCGGGACCTCCCCTGATTGCCAATAATTTTCAAAGATAATGGCCAATGGCTCTGCAATCACATCTGCCAACTCCCTGAGCACCCTCAGATGCATTAGATCTGGCCCCATGGACTTGGGCATGTCCAGCTTTTCTAAATAGTTCTTAACCTGTTCTTTCACCAGGGCCGGCTCCAGGCACCAGCTTAACAAGCAGGTGCTTGGGGCGGCCAAGGGAGAGGGGCGGCACCTGCGGCAATTGGGGGGCAGCAGGTCCCTCACTCCCTCTAGGAGCGAAGGACCTGCCACTGAACTGCTGCTGCCGATTGCGTATTTTTTTTTTTTTCCAATTGCCACCGCCGATCGCGATCGCGTCTTTTTTTTTTTGCTTGGGATGGCGGAAATGCTGGAGCCAGCCCTGTCTTTCACCATTGAGGGCAGCTCACTTCCTCCCCATACTGTGCTGCCCAGTGCTGACCTTGTCTGTGAAGACCGAGGCAAAAAAAGCATTGAGTACTTCAGCTTTTTCCACATCCTCTGTCACTAGGTTGCCTCCCCCATTCAGTAAGGGGCCCACACTTTCCCTGACCACCTTCTTGTTGCTAACATACCTGTAGCAACCCTTCTTGTTACCCTTCAAACCCTTGCTAACTGCAACTCCAGCTGTGCTTTGGCCTTTCTGATTACTCCCCTGCATGCTGGAGCAATATTTTTATACTCCTCCCTAGTCATCTGTCCAAGCTTCCACTTCTTTGCAGTCTGAATTTGTCTAGCTTCAACTTCCAGCATTGGATTGTGTTAGACCTTCCTCTGCTAGAATGAGAAGCCCAATTATTAAACATTTGTTCCCCATGTAGGTACGTATAGACTGCAATTAAGTCATCTTCTCTTTGACAAGCTAAAAAGATTGCGCTCCTTGAGTCTATCACTCTCAGGCAGGTTTTCTAATCCTTTAATAATTTTCATGGCTCTTCTCTGCATCCTCTCCAATTTATCAACATCCTTCTTGAATTGTGGGCTTCAGAACTGGACACAGGATCCCAGCAGTGGTTGCACCAGTGCCAAATACAGAAGTGAAATAACCTCTCTGCTCCTACTTGAGATTCCCCTGTTTATCCATCCAAGGAGAGCATTAGCCCTTTCGGCCACATCATCACACTGGGAGCTCATGTTCCACTGATTATCCACCGTGACCCCCCAATCTTTTTCAGAGTCCCTGGTTCCCAGGACAGAGTCCCCCAGCCTGTAAGTATGGCCTACGTTCTTCGTTCCCAGATGTGCACATTTACATTTAGCTGTATTAAAACCCATATTGTTTGTTTGCGTCCAGCTTACCAAGTGATTCAGGTCGCTCTATATCAGTGACCTGTCCTTTTTGTGATTTACTACTCCCCCAGTTTGTGTGTCATCTGCAAACTTTATCAGGGATGATTTTATGTTTTCTTCCAGGTCATTCAAAACATGTTAAATAGCGTAGGGCCAAGAACTGATCCCTGCAGGGCCCCACTAGAAATACACCCGGTCAATGATGATTCCCCATTTACAATTACATTTCGAGACCTATCACTTAGTCAGTTTTAAATCCATTTACTGAGTGCCATGTTAATTTTATATTGTTCTCGTTTTTTAATCAAAATGTTATGCAATACCAAGTCAATGATTTACAAAAGTCTAAGTATATTATATCAACACTATTACCTTTAGCAACCAAATTTATAATCTCATCAGAAAAGGATATCAAGTTAGTTTGACAGTATCTATTTTCCATAAACCCATGTTGATTGGCATGAAGTATATTACCCTCCATTAATTCTTTATTAATCGAGTCCCATATCAACAGCTCCATTATCTTGCCCGGGATTGGTGCCAGACTGACAGGCCTACAATTACCTGGGTCATACCCTTTTTAAATATTGGCACAACTTTAGCTTTCTTCCATGGAACATGCCAGGTATTCCAAGACTTATTGAAAATCAACATTAACAGTCAAGCGAGCTGCTCAGCCAGCTCTTTTAAAACTCTTGGATGCAAATGTGACCCCAAAACCCCTTAATGCCAACAGGCAAGGGGGTTACAGGAATGTCCTGATTCTGTTATATACATTCTGGTTCACCACAGAATGTCTTGTGAGGTCGCAAATGAAAGCCGGTGTCATATTGGTCATTAATATCACTGTGAAATGTATGTACATAAGGAGTTATGTACATAGATTGAAGATATGTTCTTAGAGTCTGTATCAAGGTCTGAGTCACTGGCAGAGGTGAAAAAAGCAGGTTTTCTGTCAGACAAGAGATGTTTATTCCCCTGTCTCTCTGTCGGGATGGAAACGAAGCATTGTATGCTAACACACTGTACTCTAGCCTACTTACATATGCAGTCAACAGGGAAGCAGTGCATGGAAAAATAAACCAGGGGTGGTTATCCTGTCTCTGAGCACAGGCAATGAACTTTGGAGATTATAAGTAGAAGGCAAAGACGACACCCCCTTACCCTTCACCTAGGAAGTAAACGGATAGTGCGTCTGCATTCGTGAAAATGGGATCTCAGACAACCTTGACTGAAAAGCTGCAAAGCACTTTGGGGTGAGATGAACTTCTTTGGACAGGTGGTTAACTTGTTAGTTAAGTTTAGTCTCTAGAAGGCATGTTCTGATTTAGTTTTATATGTAACCTTTTGTTTCCAATATTCGTACTATCACTTGAACCTTGAATCTTTGATAATAAACTTATTCTTGTTTTCACTATTAATATATCTCAGTGCTGTGATGTTAAGCAAGGTGCTGAGTGTCAGCTGAATCAGACAGGCTGGTGTGTACATTGGTCCTTCCCTGGTATTTCTGTGAGTGTTCAGGGGATGGGGCTATAGGCTCGGCCGGGGAATGCTTCAAAGGGCGTTGGGGTCTGGGGTTATTAACCTGTAAGGCCAAGTAAGGTCTAGCATAGCCCAGAGGAGAATGCTAACAGGCTGGTGGTATTGGGAGATGACACCCAGTGAAGCACAAGCAAGACTCCTTTTCACTGAAGACAGGGGGGCCACAAGGTGACTCACAGTCCTGGGTACCCTGAGAACGGTCACAGAAAGTTATCTGGACTTGCTGATTTAAAAATGTCTAACTTTAGTAGTTGCTGTTTAACACCCTCCTGAGATACTAGTGGAATGGAAAGAGTGTTCTCACATGATGACACTACATCTGTTTTTTTCCCAAATAGAGAACAGAAATAGTTATTGAACACTTCTGCCTTTTCTGCATTATTATTGATGGTTGTACCATTTCCATCTAGTAAGAGACCAATACAATTGTCAGGATACTTTTTTGTTCCTAAAATACTTAAAAAGCTCCTTCTTATTGTCCTTAACTCTGCTGGTCATAGACGTCTCCTTCTGTCCCTTTGCTTCCCTTATCAATTTTCTACAATTTATAGCTTCTGATTTATATTCACTTGTTATCAACTTCTCCTTTCTTCCATTTATTTATTTTATTTTTTATAACTGCCTTAATTTCCCCTCTAAACCAGGTCATTTTTTTAAAACCAGTATGGCCTTCTTCTTCAATTGTGGGATTGTGCCTTTTTGGGCATCTAGTAATGTGTTCTTAAACAATTCCCAATTACCATCCACATTTTTTGGATGAAATACTTGCAGATGATTGTTTTCAGTTTTGTGAATTTGGCCATTTTACAATACCAAGTATATATATCACTGGTCTGGACTTCATTCTGTTTGCACATTATAAATGTGATCAAGTCATGATCATAAGTTACCATTAATATTTAGTTCTGTGATCAGTTCTTCTTTATCTGTCAAGACCAGGTCTAATACAGAATTCTCTGTCTTGGATGCAGCACTTTTTGAGTTAGGAAATTGTCATCTCTAATGTTTAGAAATTCCAAGGATGTTCTAGTTCTGGCAGCATGAGACCTTCAGCATGTGCCATTCAGATTGAAGTCCCCCATGATGATATAGTTTCCCCCTACACATTGTAGATAGGTGCGTAAGGAAGCAGTTATCCTGTTCGTTTGTGGGATTTGGTGGTTGGTTGCAGACACCAACTAATACCTCATCTTGTGCTTTAGCCATTAGAACACTGATCAATAAGCATTCAAGAATGTTCTCCTCCAAATAATCAGCGACTCAGAAGCAGATAATGCCATTTCTGACATACATCTTTTGCCCACTTTCTCCTTCCTAAATAGGTTATAACCATTGATTTTAACATTCCAGTCATGGGAATCATCCCACCAGATTTCAGTAATAAAGAGGACGGTGACCAATTGTTCGCCATGTCCACTGAAGGCAGGACAAGAAGTAATGGGCTCAATCTACAAGGGAGAGCCTTTTTTGCACTATCACACTGTTGACTCATATTCAATGTGTGAGCCACTATAACCCCCAGATCCTTTTCACCTAGCCAGTACTACCACCTAACCAGTTATTCCCCGTTTGTATTTGTGCATTTGAGTTTTCCTTTCTACACGCAGTATTTTGCCCTTGTCTCTACTGAATTTCATGTTGATTTCAGACCAGCTCTCCAATTTGTCAAGGTCATTTTGAATTCTAGTCCTGTCCTCCAAAGTGCTTGTGACCCCTCCCCTCAGCTTGTGCAAACACCTTCCCCCCCAATAAAACACACACCCCTTTTACCTTGGGATCCAATAGGAGCTCAAAGGCAGCTAAGAGCTCGCCCGCTTCCTTCTGCTGCTTTGTGATTGGATACCACTGGAGGCGGGGGAGGTGTCGGGATCTGAGATCCAGACATACCAGTGGGGAACACATGCTCCTCCCCAGGAAGTCATCCTTGTCCTAATATAAAGAGGAGACGTGATCAGATCATGTGAGTCATGGGCCTGCAGATCCCCTTCACCTGCTCCTCCTTTACCCCCTTCCCTGGGATCTCGCACTTACAATGATATCCCGGTCAAACAACTCCAAAACCACCAGTGGCGGGTCCTGCCGGGTGGCCTGGGGGTCTCCGTAAATCAGCACATGGTCGAAGATGAGGGTCTGGTCCCAGCTGGGGCTCAGGGTGGCAGTTAAGGTCTGTGTGCGCTGGCTCCTGTGCAGGAAGGACACGTGGGCATAGGGATCTGGGGGAAGGAGACGGAAGAGACGGACTGTTCAGTCATAGAGTCATAGAATCTCAGGGTTGGAAGAGACCTCAGGAGGTCATCTAGTCCAACCTCCTGCTCAAAGCAGGACCAATCCCCAACTAAATCATCCCAGCCAGGGCTTCTCAAGCCGGGCCTTAAAAACCTCTAAGGATGGAGATTCCACCACCTCCCTAGGTAACCCGTTCCAGTGCTTCACCACTCTCCTAGTGAAATAGTGTTTCCTAATATCCAACCAAGACCTCCCCCACTGCAACTGGAGACCATTTCTCCTTGTTCTGTCATCTGGTACCACTGAGAAAAGTTTAGATCCATCCTCTTTGGAACTCCCTTTCAGGTAGTTGAAAGCAGCTACCAAATCCCCCCTCATTCTTCTCTTCTGCAGACTAAACAATCCCAGTTCCCTCAGCCTCTCCTCGTGAGTCATGTGTTCCAGTCCCCTAATCATTTTTGTTGCCCTCCGCTGGACTCCTTCCAATTTTTCCACATCCTTCTTGTAGAGTGGGGCCCAAAACTGGACACAGTACTCCAGATGAGGCCTCACCAATGCCGAATAGAGGGGAATGATCACGTCCCTCGATCTGCTGGCAATGCTCCTACTTATACAGCCCAAAATGCCATTAGCCTTCTTGGCAACAAGGGCACAATGTTGACTCATATCCAGCTTCTCGTCCACTGTAACCCCTAGGTCCTTTTCTGCAGAACTGCTGCCTAGCCATTCGGTCCCTAGTCTGTAGCAGTGCATGGGATTCTTCCATCCTAAGTGCAGGACTCTGCACTTGTCCTTGTTGAACCTCATCAGGTTTCTTTTGGCCCAATCCTCTAATTTGTCTAGGTCCCTCTGTATCCTATCCCTACCCTTCGGCGTATCTACCACTCCTCCCAGTTTAGTGTCATCTGCAAACTTGCTGAGGGTGCAGTCCATGCCATCCTCCAGATCATTAATGAAGATATTGAACAAAACCGGCCCCAGGACTGACCCTTGGGGCACTCCACTTGATACCAGCTGCCAACTAGACATGGAGCCATTGATCACTACCTGTTGAGCCCGACGATCTAGCCAGCTTTCTATCCAACTTATAGTCCATTCATCCAGCCCATACTTCTTTAACTTACTGGCAAGAATACTGTGGGAGACCGTATCAAAAGCTTTGCTAAAGTCAAGGAATAACACGTCCACTCCAGTCCTGTAGGAATCCGTCAGAGCGGGCAGCGTCTCAGTGTTCCCATCTGGACATAGCGGCGTGGGAGAGATGTAGAACTGGCCTATCTGAGGGGCACCGTGCAGCCCGTTGGACAGTGTACGCCCAGCAGCAGGGAACCCGTAGGGCCACTGTTTGTACAGCGTAGGCCATTCAGAGCTCCCATGCCCAACAGAGGGGACCTGTCTGGCCTTGGAGGGTTATACCAGGGGTTGTTTGTGTTAGGCTCCCAGGTTTTATGATCTGGGGGTGCCAGGAGATGGGTGGGGTAGAGCAGGGAAGGTCTGAGGCGGCATGTGTTGCGGGTGGTGGGGTTTGCCTCATGTCACCTACCGGAGGAGCTCCTGCCATCGCTCGGTGTCAGATCTCTGGCTTGGAAGATGTAGCAGTGCAGCTGGTAGTAATTGGGCTCTGGAATATGAAGAGTTCACAGGTCTCACCCACACTCCTCCTCACCTGTTATGCAGAGGTGCCTGGCGGTGTCCCCCCGTTCCTGCCACCATCCAGGGCCCAGCTGCAGAGGCTTCAATCCCTCACTCTGTACATGGACAGGGGCCCAGGAGGAGCCAATGATCGCAGGGGCCCTGAAACCAGCGGATGGAGGGACAGATGGTGGGGGCTCTGGGGCCGGGTGTGATCCCCTTGTGACGTTATTGACATAAACTGGGACCATATAGATCATTGTTGCAACCAAGGTCCTATAGTGGCACCCAAATCTTGTATAAAGGGGGTCGAATGGGGTGTCTAAGACAAGGTTATGGTTTACTGGTTATGATTATGCTGTCTATATGTGTGTATCAGTTTTGTAGTTGAAGTTATGAATATTGGCTCTATACTGTCTGTATGGCAAACTTATGCTATGCTTCTGGGTGACATCCCAGACAAGCTGGTGTTAGCTCTGCCTAGCCTGCTTGATGGCCCATTAAGGACCATTGCCTTCAGACTCAGCAAAGTATGCAGGAACTGGCCCATGTGACTCCAGGCTCCATTTTGCTGTAATTTTCCACAGTAAGAACAAAGAGGTGTTCTTACACCTGGAAAAGACTACATAAGGCTGATGCCTCATCTCTATTTTGTCTTCAATCCTGCTTCTTACCTCTGGAAGGACTTTGCTACAAGCTGAAACTTTGAACAAAGGACTGAGGACCCATCCCAGCAGGGGATGTTCCAGAGACTTGATTTGAACCTGCAGTTTATTCTATCACTGCTGCAAGCCTGAACCAAGAACTTTGCCATTACTGTATGTAATTGATTCCATTTAACCAATTCTAACTCTCATCTCTATCTTTTTCTTTTATCAATAAACCTTTAGATTTTAGATTCTAAAGGATTGGCAACAGCGTGATTTGTGGGTAAGATCTGATTTGTATATTAACCTGGGTCTGGGGCTTGGTCCTTTGGGATCAGGAGAACCTTTTTTCTTTTACTGAGCTATTGGTTTTCATAACCATTTGTCCCCATAACGAGTGGTACTGGTGGTGATACTGGGAAACTGGAATGTCTAAGAAAATTGCTTGTGAGACTTGCGGTTAACCAGTGGGGTGAGACCGAAGTCCTCTTAGTCTGGCTGGTTTGGTTTGCCTTAGAGGTGGAAGAACCCCAGCCTTGGGCTGTAATTGCCCTGTTTGAGCAATTTTTCCTGAGTTGGCACTCTCAGTTGGGTTCCGCCAGAACCGCATCATCACACCATTCCATTCCAGTGACTCACGCTGGAAGACACAGGTGATCAGAGGAGTGTTCAGCTGCAGGATATTCTGGGCTGGGGACCTCTTCTCTCTCTCTCCCTCCTCCAGGATCTTTTTCTCTCGCTCCTTCTGTTTCTCTTTCTCCTCCTCCTCTCCTTCCTCCTTCTCTTGATCTTCAAACTCCACACCCTAAGCAGAGAGCAGCCCTCAGCCCCTGGGCACCCTCAGCTGCAGGATCTCCGGGTGGAGCTCTCACTGCCAGGATGCCCTCAGCACCCCCTTCCGGCTGCAGATCCTGCTTCCTGTTTCCAACTCCACTGGAGTCTATAGCCCCCGCCCCAGTTATACATCCTCACTAACACAACCACCACTTCCTCCCCCCTCTGCTGTAACCACCCCCATCATCCCTCTCTATGGCTGCGTCTCCCTGGGGCTCAGGAGCAGCCTGCTTTGGGGCTGTGAGCTACCTCGGGGCAAGCTGACCCTTCTGTGTCAATCAGCCCTCTCTGGCCTATGGGGACCCTGCTTTGGGCCAGGGGTTTGTGCTAGTGGCTGGGCAGGTGCTTTCTGGGAGAGAAAAGAAGAGAGGCTCCAACTGGAGACAATGGGCCAGGGCCTGCACCCCTCCCTCTCTAGCCTGGGACCACCCGTGGGCATAAGGCTGCATGCACAGCTCCTACTGGATCAGCTGCGGCCAGGGGGTTTCCAGCTGAGATCTGCCTGCCTCGGGGAAGCCTCCTGTTGGCTCACTCTGCAAGGCTGCTGCCTACGAGCCTCCCAGTTCCCGTCATGCCCAGTGCATGGGTCTGCGTGGGTCTGGCCAGGCGATGGGGGGGAGGGGTTCCAGCCATTCTAGCGTTTGGCCAGCCAGGGACAGGATCTTGCTTAGAACAGCGGCCAAATGAACAGCCAAAGGCGATGCCCCTTTGCTGCCTGGCCTCTTACCAGGGAGCCCTCCAAGAGGAAAATGGGAGCCACCCTGGTGGGCTGCACGGGCACGAGCTTCCTGCGCCAGCAGCGCCGCCGGTAAGCGTCATGCGGCCGGGGCTGCAGGTGGAACTTCCAGCCAAAAAAGGAGGCGTATTCCCAGGTGTCCTCTTCCGCCGGCTTCCCTGTAGAGTGCTGCAAAAATGGGACAGGCCTGAGAAAGGGGGAAGAGCTGCACCGCAAGGATCCAGCTCAGATTCAATCCTGACCCTCCGTAAGATCCCCCTGAAGCAATTCCCCTCCCCGGCCACCAGCTTTCACCCCCAGACACTTTGGAGCTCCCTAGCTCCGTTCTGCAGACTCCAGAGGCTCAGGTACAATCCGTGAACCTGGTGGGGCGTCTCCAAACAGCTCAGTTGACTTTGGTGGAGCCCCGGTGATTTGCAGAGGAGTCAGGCTGCCTTACACCAGCTGAGGGTTTGTCCTCGCAGTGCGGTGTGCGTCTGACGCTCTCTCACGCCTAGGGTGCTGGGAGCAGCCCCTTCCGAGCCAGCCCCACAGGCACCATGAGCACAGCCCCTGACCTCGGCCACTCCCACCACTTACCAGCTGGAGAAAGGAGGCGATTTCCTGCTCCTGGCTCTGAGCGTTCAGGTCCCGACAGCGTCTCCGCAGCCAGCGCCGACGCCGGTGCGTGTGGTATGTCTTCTCTGTTGCATTCCAGGACTGGGGTGTTCCGGTGTGGGGGATGCCAATGCCGTACTCCCAGCCTGAGAGAGGAGCCGTGCTGCCATCAGGACCTGGGAGGAGGCCCCAGGCAGGCGTGCTCACATCCTGGCGATCAGATCCTCCCTCATGAAACCAGGCAACCTCCTGCCTGGCCTCTCCTGCTGCCTGGGCTCACTCCCCAACCGCCTGGGCTGGACAAGGTGCTGATCCTGTGACTGAGGCTGGCAGGGAGAAGCTGCACCCAGTACAGGTGTTCATGCACCAGCCCTCTCTGTCTGACAGCAGGGACAGCCTAGGAAACTCCCCTCACGCCCCCCATGTGCCCACCAGCCCAGGTCTGGAGCAGCCTCCTCCAAGGGCGATGGGGGAGCTCAGTGTCCATGGCCTGTCTGCTGAGGCTGCCAGCAAGATGGGCAGCTTGTGCCAGGGGGGTGATCCTTGAGGCACACTTGTCTGCTGGGAACCCGCTAAAATCATTACTCTGGGCTGCTGAATGGCCCTTGCAGAGATTGCCCCACAGACCCTTCAGGACGTGCCCAGGGGAACACAGTCAGCACTGAGCCCCACAAATCAGGGTGGGCAGCAGCTTGGTCCTGGGTCTCTGATCGCTCCACATCACAGCCTCAGCGGCCACACCGATTCCCCTGGAAACCACTTACCAGACTCATCCACAGCTCGGTTCACCTCCACCCTCCAGCCTTCCTCGAAGTGCCAGCCCTTAGGGCACACGATCCCTTCCTTTGGGGAGACGGCGGCTCCGCCCTGGAACCGAGACAACGGGGGAAATGCGGAGCTGAGCATGTTTGCTGGAGGTGCCCCGGAGCTTTTAGAAGGGTCCAGCAGCCACGGTCGGGGCCAGCCTCTCTGGAGAGCCCAGCCCGTTGAGGGCTGAGCCCTTTGATACATCCAGCCCTGAGTGTCACAATGGGAGCTGCTGGGAGCTGAGCCCCTTTGCAAATCATGTCCTCAGAGACCAGGGCCCAGGGAAAGTGTCAGCACCACGGAGACCAAAGCCTCTGGGCATCCCTGAGAAGAGGGGGACGCAAACCAGGGCGGGCAGGAAAGCCAGGCTCAGGCTGCAGGCTGGAGCTGGTATACATTCCAGACAGGGGCTGGAGAGGTTCTGGTTTAATGGCACTGATGAATGAAAAACAACCTCCAAGATGACACCTCCCACCAGCCAGTGCTGCCCGCACCCAGGGCTCCGTCCTCTCCTCACCGCATCGGGGTTGGGAGAAGGGGCTGGGGCCCACTCTTCCCCTGGCTGCCGGCTCTCGTTCTCGTACACCTCCTCCAGCACCTCACTGTGGTTGGTCTCAGTATCCAGCAGCAGCCTGCATGGGAAGCCAGGGCAGAGTCAGGAACGCAGGAGTCTCATCTCATGGCTTTTCCAAAGGGTTGGCTGGAAAAGCTTTGCGTGGATCCTCCTGTCATCTCCTGTTCTCTCCCATCAAACCTCAGGGAGCTGAGTGCCTAGGGGTCCCTCTAGTCCAGTACCCGGCACCTCCCTCTGGAACCCTCCTCCAATGAGGGAGGATGTTCCTCCTGACCCCAGCTGGAGATCCTCTCACAGCTTGAGGCCTGAAACAAGGTCTGAGATCCCTGGGGCAATAGTCCTTGCTAGTGTGACTGAGACACGATCCTGATTGGGACATATCTAATCTCTCCTGGAAACTCATTTATTTGCTTCAATAATATCCTGCAGCAGTGAGTTCCACAGTTTAGTTGTGCACTCAGCTCTCCAGGCCCTTCACTAGCTCAGCTCTTCCCATCCTACTCAAACACTGATGTGGGGAACTCAACGGGAGGCACATTTAACCCTTTAACCACCTTCCCTCAACAGGAGCCTGCGCTAGCCAGTGTCACAGGTTAACTATCTGCTGCATACCAGAATGTTTCCCAAAGCCCATCTAGTGCTGTTTCCTCCTTTGGTCAGAGAAAGGTGTAACCTCACCTCGTAGCACCCCTCACGGTACAGTACTATACACATGGGAGATCTCTCTCAGAGCCCCTGAAACTCCTCCCCCTCATAATAGTTTTTGGTCTTCTTCCTGGCCTGGTTCTCATCGGCAGGAGACAGCCCCTGTCTCAGCAGGACAGCATGTCCCACGACTCACCTCCTCTGTGGCTCCACCGCCCAGTCGCCATCCCAGTGCCAGCCCTTGGGCAGCTGGAACTTGTCCTTCGGGACACCAATCTTCCCGGTTATGTCCGAGAAGCTGGGGTGCTGCATCAGCCCTTTGGGCCCCCACTTCCCAAAGATCTTCACCTGGTTCTCGTACTGAGCAGGGCACAGGGGAGTGACAGACACAGATGGACGTGGGTCAGAGTAGGTGCAATTCCGCGGACACAGGGCGGGCTCCGGGGGTGGGGTGAGCGCTGGGCAGCTCCAGCCAGTGCGGGGTGGCAGAGGGGCTGAGTGGAGCTGCTGTGGAAGGGGCGTGCGAGGTGCGTGAGCTCTGACGGGCTGGGCTTTGGGGTCACAATCGATTGGCCTGCTGGGGGTGCGCCCAGTGTACGCAGCATTCCCTGTCTGCGTCAGCACTGTCCTCGTCCAGCAAACCTCCCTCCCCACATGGAAGCCCCGGCAGATTATCCCTGCCCCGGTAACCAGAGGCCTCTTGCCCTCCTCCTGCTCACCGTCTCTGCATAGACCCCGATCTTCCCCTCGCAGTGCCTCATGAACTCCTGGCTGTCCGACACCAGACTCAGCCACATTCGCATGCGCAGCTGGCCATGCATGGTGTCCTTCCCGTCTCGCTGGGGGCTCTGCAGGAGAAAGGCAAAGGGGCCGTGCTGCACCCGCTCCAAAAGCAGCCACCATGTGTGGGCAGAGCCCGCTCCGCCCCTGCTTGGCTCTCCGGCTCCCCACAGCCCGAGGCGAGCAAGAGATCCTGGCACATCTCCTACCTTCAGGAAGAGGGTGTGGGTTTTCCCGCACAGCTTGCCGCAGGCGCAGGGACCGGCCTTGGAGAACATGATGGTGTGAGCCTTCACGCGGGCATAGGCCACCCGCTTCTCCTTGCACAGCATCCAGATCACCACGTCGGGCATGCTGGCTTGGGGCTGCGGTGGCCGCACATCAGGAGAGAGAAGAGATTTCACAGATGCTATTGCAGGAGCAAGCACAGGGCGAGATACCTCCTGGGCTGCTCTCCTTCCCATGGCAGGGGCTGTGCCAACTCAGCCCCTTAGGCTCCCCCCTCATGCCAGTCTGGCCCCCCTGCTAGGCCTATCTGCAGGCGCAGCCCCTAGGGTGACCAAAGAGCCCCTCCTGAGCTAGGCAGCACTGACTCAGCATCACTCCTCGCTCCCAGTGACCCAGGGAATGAACAGCGAGGTCAGAGACTGGAGAGTGAGGGCCCCCTGGCTGAGCATGTCTCCATTCTCCTCCAGGACTGGTCTGAAAGGTGCTCAGCCCGGACACTAGAGGAGATGATGCTAGCAGCAGGGCTGGCTCCAGGCACCAGCAAAGGAAGCAGGTGTTTGGGGCGGCCAATTGGAAAGGGGCGGCATGTCCAGGTCTTCGTTGGCACTTCCCTTAGTCCCTCTCTTCCTCTTTGAGCTGCCGCTGAAGTGCCGCCGAAGAGGAATTGAGGGAGTGAGCGAAGGACCCGCCACCGAATTGCCGCAGAAGAATGAAGCGGCGCAATTGAGCTGCCGCCGAAGTGCCACCGATCGATTTTATCTTTTTTTTTTTTGCTTCGCCGCTTAGGGCGGCAAAAAAGCTAGAGCCAGCCCTGACTCGAGGAGATGCTGGCGGGCAAGGCAGCTTGAGGATGGTGTCTGGGGAAGGGGTGCAAAGCCTTGGCCTACCTCCGGAGTGACGGAGTTGATCCTCTGCAGCCAGTCCTCTACCTTGAGGATCAGGGTCTTTGGGCTCGTCCCAGCGCTCAGCCTTTCTGCAGACCTGGCTACTTGGTGGAGGAGCCGACCACGCAGGTCCCTCAGCTGCTGATCCAGGCCTGTGGCTGTCACCCGACCTTCCAAACTGGGCAGCGGCCTGCTGCAAGGAGCATCAACAGGGAGAGGTCAGAGCTCCCTCACTGCCACCAGCTACCCAGGGCAGAGAGAAGGGGGGTCTGAGAACTGACCTGCCCCTTGGCTCACGGGTGGAGAGATGAGAAATGTGGAACTGACCCATGGCATCATGTAGGTCAGAACTGGAAAAGCCATGGCCAGTCCCTCTCCTGGCCAAGCAGGATTGCTCCCTGCAGCACTTTTGCCAGTGCTTTGTCCAGTCCAGCTTTACATGTCCCAAGCGATGGAGATCCCACCCCGGTCCCACATCCTCATAGATCTCACTGGCAGGAAGCTTTCCCTGAGAGTCAGCCTTCGGTTTCCATTTCTCAAGTCCATCCCATCGCTCCTAATTACCCTGCGTTTCCCACCCTAAACAATCCCCCTTTCTCCTTGGGGTTCGCACCCCTCAGACTTTTGCAGACTATGATCATGTTCCCCACGCCCCAGACACTGCTCAGCTAAGATGTAACCCTGTTAGCTTGCCAGCCCCCTGTTTCTCCTAACTCCTCCCAGCTGGAAAATCCCCTTCTGGCGATGAAGCCATGTCATGAGGGCACAGCCTGCTCTGTAACCTCCATGCTAGGCTAGGAAGCCAATAGCTGGTGAGGACATGGACAGACACTGGATATCCAGCCTGGGAGAAAGGCAGTGAGAAAGCTGGCACCATAGTCTGGCAATCAAAAGCCCAGAGTAGCCAACCTCTGGAGACAGGGGGACACATGCAGTATTCTACGATATAGCCTTCTTGTACAGTCCGGCAGCCCCTTTGGTAAGAAATGATACTTTGCCCTTCTATAGCATCTTTCCCGTGAGGATCTCAAGGCCAGGTGCTTACAGATTGTGATCTCAGTCACACCGGTGAAAATCTGGAGTGACTCCACTGAGGTCAACGTGGCTACTTGGGTAACTGAGATCTGAGTCTGGTCCTTTAGGGTTGATTACACAAGGTAGAATTCCCATTCGACACAGTGAGAATCTAAATCACAGCGAGATGAAGGCCCAGGTTTTCAAGTATCAGGGGGTCGCCGTGTTAGTCTGTAGCCACAAAAACAACATGGAGTCCAGTGGCACCTTAAAGAATCTTTCAGGTGCCACCGGACTCCTTCAGGTTTTCAAAGGAGCTCAGCACATTGGGGGCACGTAGGGTGCTGCACACTTGGAGATCTGGCTCTGAGGTCGGGTGTAAGGCTGGCCCCTGCTGGGGGCAAGGTCACCCAGAGCCAGTGGCAGAGTGGGGAATGGAACCCAGGAGTCCTGACTCACAGTCCTGTGACCATCGTTAAGGCCCTGTGAGATCCTGCAGAGCTGCAGGAGTGCAAAGCAATTTATTGCTTTATTATTCATCCCCAGAGAGGAAAGCTATGCAGGTCACACTCCTGAGCTGCCCACAGGGTATGTCTACACTGTGATTAAACGCCAGCGACTGGCCTTTGCCAGCTGACTTGGGCTCGCGGGCTCAGGCTTGCGGGGCTGTTTAACTGCAGTATAGAGGGTCGGCTCAGGCTGCAGCCTAAGCTCTGGGACCCGTCCCATCTCGCAGGGTCCTAGAGCCTGGGCTCCAGCCCGATCCCGAATGTCTACACTGCAACTGAACAGCCCCTCAGCCTGAGCCCTGCGAGCCCGAGTCAGCCGTGGGGGTCTCATTACAGTGTAGACATACCCAGGGAGACCAACGCTTAGCGTCCTGGCTCACTTGCAGTCCTCCAGCAGCTCTTTCAGCAGCTTCTTCCAGACGTCACCCAAAGATGGATCCTCGGCGGTTTGGACGGATCTCAGAGCATCCAGATTCAATGTCTGACGGAGAAGGAAATCAAGTCAGACTTTATCTGCGGCTCATCCTCCAACCGGTGGGCCAGGGCACAGAGCTACAGTGCAACTGACTCAGCTTCCAGCCAAGTCAACAGGGGGTCTTTCCATTGACTTTAAGGGTCGGGGCCCACATTCCTCCCTCAGGACAGAGCCAGTATTTGGTGCATCTCAAGCTGTGAAGGGGAGGCGCTTCGAGATGAGCCACAGGAAGAGCCTGTGTCCGAGGGGTTTGGGTGTGGCTGGTGCAGGAGTTACAATGAAGTTATAATAGTCATTAGAGGTAGAAAAGGCCCATTAGTGCCCATCCAGACCGTCTGCTGCCAATGCCGGATTGTTCTCTACCGTGCACATGCCAGGGTTTGGTCTAGTCTAGTTTTTAGTGTCTTCCATCCATAGGTGCTGGAACTTGGGGGGCGAGGGGGTGCTGCTGCAGCCTGCACCCCAGACTTGAAGTGGTTTCCATCACACAGTTTGGTTCACTGGCTCCCAGCCCCCCTGCTTCCATCCCTTTCCTTGGGAGACAGACGATTCTACAGTCTAATACATCCTGCTGTTTAACTCCACCTCTCACTCCTCACTGCCCCTCCTTGTGCCCCAACCAGCCCTTCTCCTTCCTGGCATTTTACCCTTACCACACTTGCAGACTGTTATATTCCTTCCTGTAGTCACCACTTAGCCAAGCGAGGGCCAGGTAATCAGTTGAGTCGTCCCCTGCAGGCTCACCCCTCAGCCCCTTGACGGTTTTAGTTGCTCCTCTCTGAGCTCTCTCCAGTCTGCCAATACCTCTCTGGCATTGAGCTGCCCACAGCATTCCAGATGTGCTCGCGTCGGAGCTGTCCCCTGCGGGCTCTGTGATGGGGTGCCCCTCTGCGTGCACAGCCCCTGTCTGCTGCTGTCCCTCAGCCCAGATTCATGCCTAGCTTTGCAGCCTGTTCTCGGTGATTTGCCCGGCTCCCTGCACAGCCAGGACCTGCACTCACCAGCCTGTCCCGTGTGGAGTGCAGGATGTTCAGGGTGTCCATGTAGTAGCTAGCGTCCTCCCAGAAAGAGGTGATGGCCACCATTGGCTTGGTGTCGTACCACGGCAGATAGTGATAATGGTTTCCTGGAGAGCAGGAAGGAAGCGGGGTGAACCACTTGGCTCAGGGGAGCTCAGGCATGTTCCTTAGGGAGCTGACGGGTGGGGTAGGCTGGGTGGGTTAATATCAGCAGTGTGCACTCTATGGAGCTTCTCTCCCCTGCTGCTGGCCCTGGGTTTGTAGGGCCTGACGCGGGTCACTCTGTGAGGGCCCCATGACAGCTTGAGGAGTAAGTCTGAGTCCAGTTCCGAATTCCACCTGGTTTTATGAACACTCTTCATAACTGTGACCATCACTGGGCATTAGATCGCAGGAACTGGACAGGGAGAGAGGGCTTGTCTGCACATAGCCCCTGCACTGTCAATTCACAGCCTGCCTTAAGGACAGACAAGCCCTGAGGAAGCTCTTTTGGGAAAGGCATGATAAGGCCATCAAGAGCTATCACCACTGAATGGCTCTCGCCTAGTGACTCTCTACACAGAAACCTGGCTGGGGCAGGGGGCAGGAATCCCGCAGTCTGGGATGGCGGAGAGCGGCAGCATCTCCACTTCATTCCCTGCCCCAGAGGGGCTGCGAGTGCTTGAAAAAGGAGTGCTTCTCCAAGCCAAAAGAGCAATTGGGGAGTGTGGGTGCGGGGTGGGGCTGGGGCACTGGTGTCAGGGTCTGGCTGGACTGTGGGTTCCCACTGCCAAGGGGGATGTCAGACACAGGGTCTGCACCTGGGACTATGCCCGACGGACCCAGAGCAGGGACACTGACCAGTCACCACTCAGACCCAGGGGGTTAGCAACACGTGAGATGCAATGGTTGGATCTCCTCACAACGGACTGGTGTGTGTCCAGAGACTGGGACCGGCCCCTGCCCAGACAGAAGGGGCTCATGGCGATATGCCCCCCAGGAAGAAAACTGGTCAAACATTTTCCAATAAACATTTTTCTATCGGAAACTGCCACTCTGTCATAGAGTCATAGAATATCAGGGTTGGAAGGGACCTCAGGAGGTCATCTAGTCCAACCCCCTGCTCAAAGCAGGACTGATCCCCAGACAGATTTTTACCCCAGTTCCCTAAATGGCCCCCTCAAGGATTGAACTCACAATCCTGGGTTTAGCAGGCCAATGCTCAAACTACTTGTCAAAACTGAACCTTTCTGTGAGAATGGGGTGATTTTGACATAATTTCGTTTAGGAAAAAAATTGACAAGAAGTGTTTCCAGAAGCTCAAACCAGAACACTCTGAATTTTTGGGAGCAGAACTTTTGGTTTCAAAATGGATATTTTTGTAATATACAATTAAAGCAGTCGAAATCGGAAGGGAACGTTTCCATTTGATCAAACCGGAACGCTTCGACTGACTCCAAGGACATTTTCTGGAAAATTTCACTTCACAGGAAAATTTGGATTTTTTTTTGTTTTCATTCTGACTTGGAAGGGGAACAACCATCGTAATGTCAGGATTTCCTGCAGAACGGAAATTCGGCTCTCTCGGAATCTGGCTCTTCACGTCCCTCCATCTCTACAGAGCTCTTCCGTCTCCTGACTTCCTCCCTGCTTTCCCACCCCTTCCACCCCATCGTGCGCCTCCTGGCCAGCCTGTCTCCTCTCCCCGGCCTTGCCTTGCTCCTACCGTCAAACACAGCTTGGCTGTACTGGGTGGTTGAGGCACAGGGCTTGCAGGTCACGTCAAACTTGTTGCCATAGTTCCCGATGCTGACCTCAAACTGGATCAGCTCCTTGATAGCGGGCAGCATGGTGGCTGAATAGAAGATGGCACACAGGCCGTACTTCCGCCGCGACAAGTATCGCTGGCAAAGGAAAGACCCAACAGGCAGGGTTAGCACAGGGATGGTGTCTTGGTCACTATCACCTGTCCCGGCAGGTCATCAGCAAGGACCCAACCTGAGACCTGCTGCAGCAAAGCACCAGCCTCTGCTGTTTGAGCTAAAGGAGTGACAGCCCTAGCTGATGGCAGTAGCAGGCTTTTATCCTCTGTGTGGGCCAGTCACCAGCAGGAGATGTGATCATACTGTGACTTTTATAGCTTGGGGGAGCGTCCTGGAACCCCCATAGTCCTCATTTTCACCTAATCGTGATCTCACATATAAAGCAGGCCTTGTAAGGTATCAGGGAAAGGTTATGATCTGCTGAAAGTAATTTCTCTAGCCATACATGTGTGTCATTGATGCATATGAAGTTGTGAGAATTGTGTAGTATGATGGTCACTGAAGCATGCTGTAAGTGGGGGAATCAACCAGATATTAGCTCCCCAAAGGCAACAGCAAGGAAAGAACCAACACCTGGGCGGGGTGTGAAACAGCCCATCACTAGGGTTACCATATTTCAGCAAGCAAAAAAGAGGACGGGAGGAGCCCCGCCCCCGCCCCCCCCCCCTCCCCCCCCCCCCCACACCCCACCCCCCCCCCCCCCCCCCCCCCCCCC